TTAGGGAAAAGTGTTGTTTTATACACGGAAAAATATTTAAAATCAATTTCTGAATTTTATACATATGAGGTTAGATCCCAATTTTATGGCCCACTGGAGGCTGTAACAAGGGGCCTAGGATTTTTAAAAAAGCATACTCAGAGAGAGAAAATCACCCTTTCTGAGGGAGCAAATGTTGGTCCAACCTGTAAGCCTTTTCTGTGAGACTGTGGGAAGGTCTGCAGCTAGTGCTCTTTTGACACTTGAGAAAAGAAAAAACGGGGGTTCTAAGAATGTTAGGGCAGCACAGAAGAACCAAAAGCCTTTCTGTTTTTCCGATACCCTAACTCTAAATCACAGAGAGTGGAGAATGCACCAGCCCTGGAACTGATCAGGTTTATTACATCACTCTAAAAGAAAGAGAGAGCTACATAAAAATAATAAAAAATAAATTTAAGTCAAGTAACAAAGCTCTCACACATCCATCTTTGAAGGTACAGCAAAATCAGTTCCTCTGCTTCACTTCCCCTCCCTTCCAAGCTCATGGAGTTATTCCACTTATTAATCATGCTTAGTTCCACTAAATTACACATTAATAGTAACTTAATCTCAACTGATTTCAGTGGGATTAAAACATACCTTAAAAGCAAACAGTCTGTATAATCAGAACCAAATTTGTCTGGAAAGCATGAATTCTGATGGGCTGTGGGCTCACTGTATTGTGATACAATGCTGAAAACTCCTAAAAGCTTAGGAGTTTGGGACACCGCTGGCTTACATACATGATTATTTAAGTGAAACCCTGCTTCATAGAAACAGATTTAGATACTCAGCTGTATGAATTCACTGGCTGCCTATTATTTTCTTTTACCTTTATTTTTCATATAATTTGTCTGTGCTTAATATTATTGTACCATGATCTCTTTTCTGAATTGTTGGACTTTTTTTAATTTTTGTTGCTGCTGTTGTTGTTTCTATTATTATATTATTTTGATGTTTCTGTGTTAGCCACCCAGAGCAGTGGCTCTGCTACTAATTGGGCAGAACAGAAATGTAAACAAAAGAAGTAAATAAATAAATATGAATCACTAATGCTATAATGTAGTTATTCTATCCAACCAATTATAAAACAGAAATTATCCTTGATGAAAGCACAAACAAGAAACATACAGGTTAAACTTCCTACAAAATTGCAAAAAAGGACTCAGTGCTTCAAAACGCACAGTCTTCAGTCTGAAACTCTATTTCTAAACAGGTTTCCAAAAGCATGAAACAAATAATTTTTATTGGTTTTTTCTATCTTATTGAGGGTTATATAAGATTGTAATTCAGGTCACCTTAGGATATTACTTCAAGAATATTTTATCTGAACATCTGCTGCCATGTGATGTGTACAGCAGAAACCTCAATGGACCCCCACCTTATAAGACAAGAAAAGTGTCAATGTGTGCTCACAAGAGTGATATCACGGATACTTCCTCTCACCCAAAGATTCCATTAGAGATGAAAAACTTAGAAAGCTCTCCAACAGCAGAATGATGCTTATTAGAAAAAGAATTATGTGTACAAATTCCTGTGAGGAAAAACATTTCAAAGACACAAACAAAACTGTTTGGCTAACTGGCAATCTGCAACCAAAATCTATCTTGCAGAACAGTGGTGGGGAACTTTAGGCCCTGAAAAGTTTTGGACTACAAGTCTCACAATCTGTTATCAGGGGTTTTTGGGAGTTCAAAGTTCTAGATACCTTGAAGGCCAAGGTTCTACAACCCTAGCCTAAATTAATTTTGTCTTGTCCACAATGAATCAACCACAGTAAAAAGTTTATTAAAAGTAACTCTAGAGATACGACCATATTTAAGTTGACAGAAAGAAGAGAAAACTCAAATATTAATTTGAACTTTTCAGATTGTATATGCAACAGTCTAGTGCACTAAAATATGTTTCATAACTGTAAAACATTTGCTGATGGATAACAACTTTGCTGTAGGATCTAACAATCTGCAAAAAAGTTTATATAGCATCATTTAAGTTTAGTCCCTATACTACATTGGAAAGTGCCAAGTGGTGTACAATATGACCCTCAATTTTTCCTCTAATGATTTTAGGGAAAAGTGTTGTTTTATACACGGAAAAATATTTAAAATCAATTTCTGAATTTTATACATATGAGGTTAGATCCCAATTTTATGGCCCACTGGAGGCTGTAACAAGGGGCCTAGGATTTTTAAAAAAGCATACTCAGAGAGAGAAAATCACCCTTTCTGAGGGAGCAAATGTTGGTCCAACCTGTAAGCCTTTTCTGTGAGACTGTGGGAAGGTCTGCAGCTAGTGCTCTTTTGACACTTGAGAAAAGAAAAAACGGGGGTTCTAAGAATGTTAGGGCAGCACAGAAGAACCAAAAGCCTTTCTGTTTTTCCGATACCCTAACTCTAAATCACAGAGAGTGGAGAATGCACCAGCCCTGGAACTGATCAGGTTTATTACATCACTCTAAAAGAAAGAGAGAGCTACATAAAAATAATAAAAAATAAATTTAAGTCAAGTAACAAAGCTCTCACACATCCATCTTTGAAGGTACAGCAAAATCAGTTCCTCTGCTTCACTTCCCCTCCCTTCCAAGCTCATGGAGTTATTCCACTTATTAATCATGCTTAGTTCCACTAAATTACACATTAATAGTAACTTAATCTCAACTGATTTCAGTGGGATTAAAACATACCTTAAAAGCAAACAGTCTGTATAATCAGAACCAAATTTGTCTGGAAAGCATGAATTCTGATGGGCTGTGGGCTCACTGTATTGTGATACAATGCTGAAAACTCCTAAAAGCTTAGGAGTTTGGGACACCGCTGGCTTACATACATGATTATTTAAGTGAAACCCTGCTTCATAGAAACAGATTTAGATACTCAGCTGTATGAATTCACTGGCTGCCTATTATTTTCTTTTACCTTTATTTTTCATATAATTTGTCTGTGCTTAATATTATTGTACCATGATCTCTTTTCTGAATTGTTGGACTTTTTTTAATTTTTGTTGCTGCTGTTGTTGTTTCTATTATTATATTATTTTGATGTTTCTGTGTTAGCCACCCAGAGCAGTGGCTCTGCTACTAATTGGGCAGAACAGAAATGTAAACAAAAGAAGTAAATAAATAAATATGAATCACTAATGCTATAATGTAGTTATTCTATCCAACCAATTATAAAACAGAAATTATCCTTGATGAAAGCACAAACAAGAAACATACAGGTTAAACTTCCTACAAAATTGCAAGAAAGGACTCAGTGCTTCAAAACGCACAGTCTTCAGTCTGAAACTCTATTTCTAAACAGGTTTCCAAAAGCATGAAACAAATAATTTTTATTGGTTTTTTCTATCTTATTGAGGGTTATATAAGATTGTAATTCAGGTCACCTTAGGATATTACTTCAAGAATATTTTATCTGAACATCTGCTGCCATGTGATGTGTACAGCAGAAACCTCAATGGACCCCCACCTTATAAGACAAGAAAAGTGTCAATGTGTGCTCACAAGAGTGATATCACGGATACTTCCTCTCACCCAAAGATTCCATTAGAGATGAAAAACTTAGAAAGCTCTCCAACAGCAGAATGATGCTTATTAGAAAAAGAATTATGTGTACAAATTCCTGTGAGGAAAAACATTTCAAAGACACAAACAAAACTGTTTGGCTAACTGGCAATCTGCAACCAAAATCTATCTTGCAGAACAGTGGTGGGGAACTTTAGGCCCTGAAAAGTTTTGGACTACAAGTCTCACAATCTGTTATCAGGGGTTTTTGGGAGTTCAAAGTTCTAGATACCTTGAAGGCCAAGGTTCTACAACCCTAGCCTAAATTAATTTTGTCTTGTCCACAATGAATCAACCACAGTAAAAAGTTTATTAAAAGTAACTCTAGAGATACGACCATATTTAAGTTGACAGAAAGAAGAGAAAACTCAAATATTAATTTGAACTTTTCAGATTGTATATGCAACAGTCTAGTGCACTAAAATATGTTTCATAACTGTAAAACATTTGCTGATGGATAACAACTTTGCTGTAGGATCTAACAATCTGCAAAAAAGTTTATATAGCATCATTTAAGTTTAGTCCCTATACTACATTGGAAAGTGCCAAGTGATCAACAGAGCTACGAATTCACAGCCTCTCCAAACACAGCCTCTCCAAGCACACCTTCTAAAGTTATAGTTTAATACTAGAAAGAAACCAATGTGCAAATGTGGCAGCTGGGGAAAAAAATTCACAATTACAATTCTCTTTCGCTCTGCCTCAGAGGCAGAGATCAAATTAATCTCAGGTCCCTTGGAACGTTCTTTAAGCACAGTAAGATTAAGAAATTTTATAATTAAAGACTGTTGTATTGGGAGTTGTTTGGAGTCTGGATAATATTCTCATAGACATCAACAACATTAAAGAATGCATTCAAGTCTTTACACTACTTCACAAAAACACTGACGGGGAAGAGTTATTTAGCTATGTGGCCAGCAACGGGAAAGTAGAAGCAGAACATGTATTAAAATGACACAGAAAGATGACTCGAATGTGAAAATCAGCAGTACGTATAATTCAGTACAATGGAATAACATTGCAACAATGCTAAAAATCCATTAAAAAGCAAATATGTTCACCAGATGGGTTAAAATTTATGGGGATATGTTATAATGTTTTCCAGTAAGGTACGTTATTCTGCTATGGTTAAGCAAAATTAATCTCCACCCAAGTTTCAAAACACATTTTTGCTGGACCTTCAATATTATATTTATTTCTTTTCCAATCATTTCAACAGTAAAAACATGTCAGAGACCTAAATTCATGGAACACCGTAACTTAGTTTTACAGCCCCCACAAAAGATTAAATAGTTTAGCCCCTCCGCCTCAACTCTAAGACATAATTTGGGATCACAAATTTCTCCCATGTCAGAGCTAATATTAAGGTCTATTTTGTTGTGAAGAAAAAAATAAGAGCCAAAATATGGTACAAAATACGCACTGTTCCAGAAAGGACATCATGAGGACAGCAGTTGAGAAGATGGCTTTTGCACACTCTGTCGTCGCTGAATTTGATTCGCTGACGGGTGGTATCTCCTGAAACACAGAAATACACATTTCTGATTAGAAACATAGAGAATATTTTACACACTGGTGTACTTTTGCTTTAATTCAAATGAACATTCTGTTTCACACTGAAAGAATCTCATAATGCAGAAGCTGAAATCAGTAGTAAGTCGTAAGTAGAGCAGGCCCACTCAATTAGCAGGGATCTGGTGATTTAATTCCTCTGTATGTTCCACTGATGCAATGGGCCTACTCTAGCTGTGACCTACCACTAGACTTTAGCTAATATATGAAAAAGTTATAGTATTATAACCTGATTATATGTTGGCATTAATTTATGCACCACATAACACAAAAATAATGAAAAGGTGAAAAAACAGATCTGCATTGGATGAACATTCATTGCTTCAAAAAACATGTGCATAGATGTCACAATTCTCTGTTCCTGCTCATGTGAACTACAGTTGGCATTAGCATGAACAGCCTACCAAAGATTTGCTAAACATATCTTGATTAACAGTTGCCATTACTTCACCTTATTCATGGCACTGATGCTTTTATTTCAGACAGGTACAAGAAAGGCTAAAAATTTTTTTATAAACCTAGAACACTGAAAGAAATAAAAATGTCTACAAGCAACAGTATTTAAGAGAAATGAAAACCATAACTGGGCACATTGTATCTGCATTAACAGAGACTACTATAAACACAAAAGCATCAGCCTGCTTACCACACATGGAAGTCCAATTGCAAGTCTAATCAATCACATCTGTGAACAAGTCGGAAACATTAGGTCTATATTATAAACTCAAAGCCTAGGTACTGATTTTTTGCAGGATGTAAAGAAAAGGTATAGCAGAATAGGTAGTATCTTAAACTGGAAATGGAGGTCCCCGCAAAAAGTATACTTAGTGTAAAGATGCAGCAGCAGTTATACAACTCTTTGTTATTTGGGTTGTTTTATTTATTCCTTAAATGGTAGTCATGTAATATGAAAACCTACTGATGAATTACTGAAGCAGAGGAGAGCTGCTAGGAAAGGGATGTGTTTGCAACATTCTCAACTTCATTCATCTCAAAGTGTACAGATGTTTCCCATTGCAAAGGTAATTACTATCTTATTCCAATAAGCTTGAAACAGGCAACTCAGCAGTAGTGATTGTGTGTCCAAATGCGTTATCTGGCCATTCCAATGTGTAATACCAGTTTTAACTATCTGCCCTATGCAGAACTAACACTTTCAGATGGGCTGTATTCCACTTAAACTGAGCATTTGTTTTGGAAATTAAGGTCTATCAAAAGTATAATTTGATAGGTAATAAACAAACTAGAACAGCTTCAGAGTAGTTCAACAATAGGTTTTCAGAAGCTAAATCTCTAGATTTAATAATTTTACACTAATTGGAAATTTAGAGTTGTCTTTAAAAGTCATGCCTGCTACTGCAGAATATTTGAGGAACTGGGTATTCTCCCACCAGTTTTCCTCTCTATCTCCCTCTCTCTCTCTTTTTTAAAGACACAAGTTGCTGGTTCCACATTAATTAACACATCTGAAAAGTCAGCAATAACTCACGGCTCGGCGAATGCGGGGCCTTTCTGACACTCCCTTGCAGAATGAAGTAGGCAGGCATAGATACATTGAACCTTTATAAATAAAACAAGGGGCCAGATTGTTCAATTTGTATATAATACACTCTGCCAGCATTTTCATTAAAGCATCTAGGAAAACATGTTAAATGTAAAGAATAGTAGGAAATCTGAATTACTGTATGTTTAATGGCATGTGTTAACTTGTTTTTCAGGGGCAAATTTACTGAAAGAAATTGCCTTCCTTAAAGGATGGCTGCAAAAAAAATAATAATTAAACCCAACGTATAGATGTTCTGTTTAGCTGCTTCTTCTTTCCTTCAGACAATCCAGCAATCCAAAATACCTAATGCCTAGTATCTGAAATATTATCCAGTCTTGCTTATATTTCTTTGTGTCGGAAGAAATTCACTTAGGTTTCTTTTTAGCTGTTGTGGCTTATCTCAATATGCAAACCCCTACACAAAAATGAATTGTGACAAGAGCCTCAACAAATTATAAGCAAACTCAAAACAGTATTTTGCTTATGTACTTAAAAGATAAGTTCATATCTGATTGCCAGTATAGCTCTTTGTTCACAACTACTGTACCAAAGTCATTTAAAAATTCAACGTGAACTGAGAATACGGTTATATTACTCTATGTGTTGCCTATTCTAACATCCTCAGAGAGGTTTATTCTTGCCACTGTAACAATGTTATGTGATCACAAAATTAAATTCATCTTTAGAAACAGCAGCTTCCTTTTTTTACAAGGTGTCTGGCCCAAACCATATTTCCACAGAATATGCTATCTGACAGAAATTGAAGCAATTACATAGGAAGCAATTCATCTAGGAAAAACCTAACCATGAGGATAATTGCTGTGTCTCTAATAGCATGTCCATTCTAGATATTAAAGCACAGCTCCCTGTAAATTTTAAATGATTCATATCCTACCACAACATAGCCCAGTGGAGATCATAATAAGAAAAACACATAAGAAAAATTTCTTACAATTAAGAAAAATATTAGATCAAGTTAGGGCATAGTAAATAAGGTCTAAGTCACAGCATCCATTATAACATACTGGGCTTTCTGGACATACTGTCCAACATTAGTGTGGACATCCAAGATCTGATGATGTTCACAATTCAGGCAGGAAGACTGGCAACACATGTCACCTACCTACCGATAATTGCTCGCTTCAAACTAACCCACAGTTTCCCTTCCATTCATAGTTCCATTCACAACAGTTTTTCTTCCACATTACAAATGATACCAGGGTCCCTACAAATAACTTTTTTGGCACTTGATGCATGTAGACTGTGCCACGGACTATGCAGATTCCTATTTAGAAGCCAGAGAAACAAAAAAAAATCAGTAGCAATGCAACACCTGGACAAGTCACAAAGCACTAACAGCTTAAATCTATATTGCCTTGCAACTTTTGCAGACTATTCTTACTAACATACCTATAAACATAGCACTGAAAGCATCTCCACAGATGGAAGGTGTGCAGGGAAACATGTATTTTAAATACTGTATACCAGTGATACAGCATAAGATCAGGAAGTTTCTCCCAAATACTCCCACTCAAACACATCACAGAATGTAGTCTTAGATACAACACTAAACAACGTAAGTGGAAATTTTAAATTGGCTCCTTGTGCCTGTTAGAAAAAAATGAAAGCCTGAGGTTCTCTGCAATTTCCTCTAGTAACACTAGACTAAGCTTTCGTTTTCATCACGTCCCTCATTTTTGTCATGCTGAAGCCCACTAACACTATCTCCCTGCTCTAATTAACTTTATCAGATATACAATAGGACCCCCATATACATGAGATCAATATCTGCTGATTCACTTATTTATAGTCTGAAAGTGTTAAAAAAATATTCTCTCTCTTTCATCTGCACTGTTCAGCATTCCCCAGGTGGGCTAGGAATCAATTCCCATTGGATACAGGGGTCCTGCTGTAAAAGTTTAATATTTTTTATTTAAACTTAAATTTTTTTGTTGAAATACAGGCAACATGATGAGAAAATTAGTTAAACTGTAGAGATGGGCATGAACCACAGTTTGGCTTTGTAAAGTATATTGCCCTCAGAGGTGCTGTCACAGGATCTTTCAATCTTCTCTGTTTCAGTCTAAAAAGATAAGGAGTTGGACTAACTCCATTCTTCACAGCAGTCAGTTTTCAGACCTTTACATCTTGGTCATCATCCTATGGAGAAGCTCCAGCTCAATATCCTCTTTATGATGCACCACAAGTAGACATACTACTCCTGGTGGTGTTTAACTAAAGCATGTATTTTAAATCTTGGTCAATTTCACATTCTTCCCTGTTGAAGCTCATTTTGGGTTTTTGGACCCACTTCTCCATTATCCATTATGACAATCCTGAACCTTGATTCAGCCTTATGAAATACTAGCTATCCCTCCCAATTGGCTTCATTCATACGGTAGATTAGATGTATGTGACTAATCCCAACCTAGGCTTGTCACTGTTAAAAATAGCTTTCCCTTAAAAAGTTTGACATTAGCCATTAATCACAACACATCCAGTGGTTAAAGAATTAAAACTGATATTCTCTTCACTACAAAGCGACATCAATTTGGAAACAGATCTAAGCTTCAGTTCTTCTTCAGTTACAACCCAACAATATACCCCTTTCTTCAGTTACACTTTTATTCTCCTTTTTTCCAGCCCTTCAGCTCCCTTCTCCTTCAGGCTCCAGGATATGCTGGCCACATGCATCACTCAGCTAATCACCTTGGTTCTCTGTTACCAAGCACACTGGACAGGGTTCTGGTCACATGCCTTCCCCCCTTAGAAAATATTGCTTCATTGCGAACCTCCAAACAAGGTTCGCAGTAAAGTACAATGAACTCTCTTCCCTACCATTAGCTCCCTTCTTGTTTAATGTTTCTATCATGTAAAAATTGTTTTTATATATATTTCTTGTCTTATTTTATGTTGTTAGCCGCCTAGAGTGTTCTTAACCAACCAGATAGGCGAGATATAAATAAAATAAAATAAAATAAAATAAATAAATAAATAAATAATAAAATTGTATTCCAAATTTATAATATATTTCATATATATTTAGCAATTTTACCTTTACCTTTTCTAATCTATTTTTTCTTGCACCTTTACCTTTATTATAATTAATTTGAAATGGTATGGCAAAGGTGCTACCTCGCTGTTAACCTCGCGGGGTGCGTGGGGTTTAGGGTGAAAGCCAACAAGCAGATCAATAACCCTGCACCATGCAACAATCATTAGAAAACTTCTGCCCTAAAGTTGGGCACCTGGAATGTATGGACAATGACCCCTGGTCATTGATTACGGCTTTTCTGACAACCTGCAGGAAATAGATAACATACGCAAGACAGCTGTCAACGAAATGGAACTGAGTAGATTGCAGATGGACATTGTTGCCCTACAAGAGACAGGATTGCCAGACTCGGGATCTGTCAAAAAAAAAAACTTCTCATTCTTCTGGCAGGGAAAACCATTGAATGAGACCATGGAATATGGTGTTGGCTTTGCAGTCAGAAATACTCTTCTGAGATCCATTATTCCAACTACTATGGGGAATGAAAGAATCCTGTCTCTGCAGCTCCCCTCATCAGCAGGACCGGACACCCTCATTAGTGCATATGCACCAACACTGTCATCCACAACAGAAGTGAAAGACAAATTCTACAACAATCTGGCAGCTACTATCAAAAAAGTCCCTGGGAGAGAGCCACTGTTCATTCTCGGAGACTTTAACACTAGAGTTGGTGCTGATCACAATTCTTGGCCCACTTGTCTAGCCATTTTGGAATTGGAAAGATGAATGAAAATGGCCAACACTTGCTGGAGTTTTGCTGTTATTATGGTCTTTGTGTCAACAACACGTTCTTTAATACAAAGCTTCAACAGTTTCTTGGAGACATCCAAGATCCAAGCATTGGCATCAGCTCGATTTGATCCTCATTAGATGTTCTAGCCTTCCTAGTATTACGATCACACACAGTTACCAGAGTGCTGATTGTGATACTGATCACTCCCTGGTGTGTAGTAGAGTAAAATTGCGAACAAAGAGATAGTATCAAACGAAAAAGGAAGGAAGACCACATATTGACATCAGCAAGACTCACAATCAAAGAAAAGTGGAGGAATTTGCCAAGCGCTTGAGGAAACCCTTCCAGGCCCGGCTGATGCAAATGCACCTGAACAATGGGAACATTTCAAGAATGCTGTTTATAACACTGCCTTGTCCACATTTGGCAAGAAGACCAAAAAGACAGCAGACTGGTTCAAAGCCCATTCAGAGGAGTTGAAGCCAGCCATCGAGGATAAAAAGAGAGCTCTAGCAGCATACAAAGCATGTCCTAGTGAGTACAACTTGCAAGCTCTTCGAGCTGCTCATAGCCAAAGTCCAACAGGCTGCCAGATGTTCCAATGATTATTGGCTTCAACTCTGCTCTCAGATAGTTAGCAGCAAAAACAGATAACATCAATGGAATGTATGATAGTATCAAGTAGGCTTTAGGTTGATTACAGAAGAAATCTGCTCCCTTGAAGTCTGCTACAGGCGTGATCATCCAGGACCGAGCACAGCAGATAGACCGCTAGGTGCAGCACTACTCTGAGCTATATTCCAGAGAGAATGTAGTAACCAAATAGGAACTAAATAACATTGAGTGCCTACCTGTCTTGGAAGAGTTGGAGAGCGAACCAACCTTAGCAGAAATAAAAGCGGCCTTGGATTCCCTCACCTCCGGCAAGGCACCTGGAAAGGATAACATCCCTGTTGAAGTGCTGTAAAGAGATCATCGCCACCGAACTGTATGAAGTCTTTCGTCTTTGCTGGAGCAAAGTTGGAGTACCACAGGACATGAAGGATGCAAACACTGTCACATTGTACAAGAACAAAGGAGACAGAGGCAACTGCAATAACTACCGTGGCATCTCTCCTCTCAATGTTGTAGGGAAGCTGCTTGCCTGTGTTGTGCTTGAGAGGCTCCAGGTTCCTGCAGACAGAGTATATCCAGAATCACAGTGTGGATTTTGAGCTAATAGATCC